TTCGAATCCACCAGATGCTCTGCTGGAGAAGGAGGGACAATCTCCTCCTGTACCAGTCAGATCCGATTTGATGGTACACACACACACACACACACACACACACACACACACACGAAACTAATTAAAAAAAGGTGTTTTTTTTAAAAAAAAGAATGCTGATGCTAATGAAAATAATCTGGAACAAGAGGTACATTGCACAGTGAACTGGGGGAGGGGAAGAAAATGTGCAACAGTGAATGAATAAGAAAAAAGAATACTGATGATAAAAGGCAATAATAATAATAATAAAACTCAGAAGAGGCATTTAGCATTGGAACTGGGTTATTGTGGAGTCACTGGACCGGAACCCCATCTTAAATTGGGGTCTACCAGTACACTGCAGTACCTCCCTGCCCCACTCAGGAAACACTTCCCAAGAGAGCTCAGCAGAACCCATTTTCTGTTCTGTCATCAGCACAGGTGGGGCCACACCTGTGTGCGTCCCGTAGGGAAAGTCGCTAACAGGATGTGAGTTTTGCTCCCACGGCGCTCACAGCCCATTTCATCCACATGGTGTGCTCGTGAGATGCTGGCAATGGGAAGGGGCCAAGAGATAATAGATGCTTGGCACCTTGGGGGCAGCTTGCGCCCAGCTCCCTCACCCCAGCACGTGGTGGGTGGATGGGGAGCATCACTTACCTGGCAGGTGGTCCTTGTAGCCAGTGTGTGAGGTGGACAGTCAGGCCAAGCTCCAGGCACCGGGACAGGGTAAAAGCCCTGGAGCTGTGAGGCCCAGAGGAATCGGCACGTGGAGGGTCTGGGGTGACAATAGGGTGAAGCTGTTTTGGAGGCTGTGTGGCTTTGAGTTCTGGATACTCCTGTGTCATGGACAGCAGGACCAAGACACAAGTCTGTGGCTGCTGTGGTGGCAGCCCCACGGCTGCGGAGCAGAACCGTGTTCCATGCGGTTGGCTTAGCTGTGTCTTAAGTGCTTTCTGAAGCAGTTTCCCGGGACCTTCCTTATTCTGCAGCGCTGCAGGGTTGGTTCAGAGCACCAAGTTCAGGTTAGACGTCTGACGATTCCAAGGACTTCTCACCAGCAAACAGATATGTTGCTGTTGCTGTGTACTCTACAATCAGAACTGACCCATAGTTGACCCTCTGGCAGGTTTTTAGAGGCAGTTAGTTAATCACCTAGGAGGAGATTGCCCCTCCTCCCAGAAGCAGCTGGAAGCCTTGAACCACACACCTTCAGGATTACAGCACGGCTTCTTGCCACTAGTCCACCAGGGCTCCCTGCAAACAGATGTTGTTGTTGTTGTTGTTGTTGTTGTATGCCGTCAAGTCGCTTGCGACTCATAGCGACCCTATGTACAACAGCCCTAAACCGTGCTCTATCCTGTGCCAATCGCACTGCCTCTGACACTCCCATCCCGATTATCCCAGTCACTGAATCAGTCCACCTCATAGAGGGTCTTCCCCTCCTGCGCTGTCCCTCCACCCTCCCAAGCATGATGTCCTGCTCCAAGGACCAGTCTCTCCTCACAACATGTCCAAA